GGAGGCAATGGGAAATTATAAAGTGAAGAAAGGAGTTTGGGAGCAGATAAAAACAAAGAGAACCACATTTATGCAGGTTTTCAATGGGCTATCATTACTGATTCAATTTATTGAGATAGGCTGTGTAAATAAATAGAATATTGTTCTTTAAAAGCCAATGTAATTTCAAACAAAAAAAGACAAGAGTGAAGGCGCACAGCCTGAAAATGCAAAAACAACAGCCTTCCAGATGCCTTACCCCTTATATTTCATAGTGGTCTAAGTGGCTCTAAAAAGGGGGAATGGGAAAATTGAAGTGTACTTGGAGTCTTTAGTGACATATAAATTCACTTCAAAGACATATTTTTGAAAAAAAGACTACATTCTAGGAAATCCCATGGAACCGTTCAATGTACCCTACATTGGGCTGGAATTGACTAGATAACATGCAACAACCACCAGAGTAAATGGCTCAAATTGGTGAACGATTTACTTTTTAAAAAGAGAGATCAGGTATCAAGCACCAAAGAACAAAAAACTCATATTATTGTGAATGAGGGGGAGTGCAGGGTGGGGGCCCAAGGCCCATCTGTAGGCAACTGGACATCCCCTTATGGAAGGGTCTTGTGGAGGAGACGAGCCAGTCAGGGTCCATCGATGAAACACACAATTTTCCTCTAGTTCGTTAATGCTTCTCCCCTCCCCCCAATATCATGATCCCAGTTCTACCTTACAAAGCTGGCTAGACCAGAGGATGTGCACTGACACAGATAGGAACTGGAAACACAGGGAATCCAGGACGGATGATCCCGTCAGGATCAGTGGTGAGAGTGGAGATACCTGGAGGGTGGAGCAAAGGTGGAGTAGAAAGGGGGAACCTATTACAAGGATCTACATATAACCTCCTCCCTGGTGGATAGACAACAGAAAAGTGGGTGAAGGGAGACGTCGGACAGTGTAAGATATGATCAAATAACAGTAATTTATAAATTATCAGGGTTCATGAGGGAGGGGGGGATGGCGAGGGAGGGGAAAAAATGAGGATCTGATACCAAGGGCTCAAGTAGAAAGCAAATGTTCTGAGAATGATGATGGAAATAAATGTACAAATGTGCTTGAAATAATGGATGGATGTATGGATTGTGATAAGAGTTGTAGGAGCCCCCAATAAAATTATTTAAATAAAAAAAACACCAGAGAGATCAAGATGCAACCTAGGTTATTTCAATAATATTCCTGGCATGTCACTCTCACTTGCATACTTGAAACTATGTTTCCCCTTCTTTGCAGTGTGCATATTTATAGCTCATCAGAATCTAGCTGTGTTCATGAGCTAGTGCTGCGTGCATGAACAGCTTTAAAAGTATGTTGTCTGGCAAATAATAAATGATCCTGATTTATATAAGCTATATATATTTATTTTATGTTGCCAAATTATTGATATTTAGAAGTGTTTGAAAAGAATATGACTTAATGCCATGCATAAACATTAACCGTCACTGTGAATTTTAAGAAGCTATCCATGTGAGGCTATATCCACCTATCACAGTGAAACAATTAACTATATGCCATGTGTGTTGATGGTGTTTTGTTTTATCTTGTGGTTGCAGTGCTATAGGTTGGAGATTTTGTTTGTATCAACAGTTTTTCTTCATTTCCATTTATAATATGCTAGGCCATGTGCTGAGTGTTATAAATGCACCCTCTTATTTATATCCTCTTGACAAGTCCAATTCTAATAATAGTACCAATCACATTTTAAAGATAGGGTGAGTGAGAATTACAGTGTTGAAGCATCCTGTCTAAAATCGCTATTAGCCAAGATGAAATTGGGATTTGCACTTGGTCTACATCATGCACTCCTGTGGGCTGAGGATTTAGAGTGAACCATGCATACAGTGAAGATCAGCTTGGCAGAACTACAAAGGGCAGTGGCATGCCACTAAAACTCGATGTCTAGGGTGAGTACCTGGCTCTTTCCATGTTAGACATCAGGAACTGAGGTGGCATAGGACCTACGGGATGAACTCCTGTGATCTCAGGAAAGTCATTGGTTAATGTGGACTGAACTCCTGGCTTTTACTCGTTGGCATAACCCCAAATCAAACCAACTGCCATCAGTTGATTCTGATCCATAACAACCCTATCTAGGGTTTCCATCTATCAATATAGGAACTGAGAATCTTGACTTGCTCCCACAGAACAATAGGTGGGCTGGTAATTAGCAGTCCAATGCTTACCCAACATGCCACAGGGCTCCTTTTCCCTCTGTCTTCCCTCAAGGCACTGCCATTGAGTTGGTTCGGATTCACAGCAGCCCCATGGGACAGGATAGAACTGCACCGTGGGTTCTAGAGATGGAAATCTTTATGGGAGTAGAAACCCTCTTCTTTCTCCTTCAGAGTAGCGAGTGTTTTTCAACTGTGGACCTGGTGATTTGCAGTCTACCAGGTAACCTACTACCCTTTGTTTTGTTCTATAAGGTTCCTATAAATTGGAATTGACTTACCAGCAATGAGTTATAAATAGTTTACATGGTCTACCAAACTTTAATTTACAAAGGCCTTTAGAAAAATGGAATATCTGATTTTTTTTTAACTTCAAATCAACCTTAAAATACCTATGCTTTGTTTTACCCACTGAAACTTGTAGTAATTTGTTACAGCAGCCATAGGACTCCACTACAGATAGCACGTCTTGAATGATTCCTTAAATTTCCCCCAACTCAGCCTCAAGTTCTTTGAGGGGAAACTTGGATTAAGATAGGCCAAGGCCTCCTTAGATGGCACTCCCTATTTCTGCTCCTCCGATCACTTTTGAACTGGAGAACACAGAGGAGTCTGGGATAATGAGAGCCTGGGTACAGGAGTTTTTTAAAGAACTAATGATTAAGGGAGAATTCTGGTAAGGGGACAGTGTCAAGTAGATGTTTGCCCTCATTGGTTTTTGGTGATGAGGAGACTTACCAAATTGATCCAAAGAAAGCTATGAAGCTGCCACTGAGATACTGTGCACCCCCCACCCCTACCCCCAACCCTGCCCCACTTGTGAATCAGGTTTGTATTTGTGAGTTAGGCTGGTATGGCCAGAAGGCCACACCAAAGTGTCTATCATTTTTCCCACTCTCCAGGTTAAGGTCATATAACCCCCTTTGGTTCATATATCTTTGTATTTGTGCTCCCTAATTTGCATGTTGCTTCTATGTGATAGCATAAGTATTTTCATCCACATGATGCTTTATCAGCTGCTAACTTATGACTTACATTATAGACAATTCCCCATAACACTAAGATGCTAATGAGGTAACCATGTAAGTATTTTTGTTTGCACACAAACAAATGTACTCACACATACTCACATATGTGTGTCTGTCTCTGTTAAAATTTTCACTTACAATAATCCATGTTACTTCCAAATATTGGAGATAAAATCATTGCAAATTGCTCTAATAAAAAATGAAATATAAGACAGAAGTTTGTCTATGAAATCAACTAAATTATAAAAATACAAGATTTCCCCATGCATATTGCCTTCCACTTTAGTATTTGATAAAGAATAAAATAAGAAATGCTTAATTGTAGTTCATATTAATCTACTACCTTATAATTTGATAATATGCTCAAACTCAAGTACCTGATCGTTTGGCTCATTTTTATCATGCTAAGGCTTTATTTTTAAGTAGAAATATATATGTATGTACTTCTGTATGTACTAATGAGTAATTATTGTGATTTTTAAGTAAGTGTTATATTTTGAGGATATAATTCGTATATGTTAAAATTTGTCATATTAAAGTATACAATTAAGTACTTATTGCTATACATATTCTTAAAGCTTGCAACTATCACAACTATTTAATCAAAAACATTTTTATCATCACAAAACTCAACCTCATGTACGTTAGCAACCATTCCAAATTACCCATTTCTCTGAGCCTCTGGTAATCACTAATCATAATTCTGTCTCTATCAATTTTCCTATTTTATACAATTCATGTGGATTGAATCAAGCAATTTATGACCTATTGTGTCTGGACTATTTCATTCACAATAATGTTTTATTAACTTCATCCATACAATACACTATTCTGTTTTATGGACAAATATTTCATTAAGTGGCTATACTACATTTAGCTGTTCATCCATGTGTTAGTCTGGGTAGACTATAGAAACAAATTCAGGGAAACTCATATGTGTATAAGAAAGAGCTTTATATACAAGGGCAATTGAGTATTGAGAAAACATCCAGCCCTGACCAAGTCTACAAGTATATATGTCTGATACCAATCTATAAACTCCTCTTCAGAATCACACAACACATGCAATGATGCTGAATGCAGGAAGATCAAAGGCCAGTTGGTGGAAAGTCTTGTGGATCCAGTGGCAGTGGAAGTATCTCAGTGCTGGTGTGGGTCTCCACGTGGCTCCTTCCGCTAGCTCCATGTAACATCTCAATAGGAATGTCTTGCAGGGAGTGAGCGTGTTCCACCTCCAATGAGCTTTTTATCTCCTTGGTGCCTCCAAATGAGGTTATCAAGCTGCAACCTAATTGACAGGCTACCCCTTCACTCCTAAGTCTCAGATTGACAACAGATTGGGCTGTTTCTCATTTGGGACTATTGTTAACAATCCAATTATGGATAGCAATATGAAACTATTTGTGAATATACATTTTCTATTGTCTTGAGTATGCCTACAAGTGGAAGTGCTTGGTCATGTGTAGACGTTGTTTAACTTTTGAAGAGCTGAGAAACAAGGGCCACAATGGCTACATCATTTAATGTTTGGCTCCATCAATTAGCATTTTGAACAGAAATGTATGAGGAGTCCAATTCCTTCACATCCTTATCAATATTTGTTATTGCCTGATTGTTTTTTGTTTTAGTTATTATTTTTTCCATCTTCACTCATTCACTCACTTCCATCAAGTTGATTAAGAGTCATATGGATCCTAGGGACAGAGGAGAACTGATGGTGTGGGTCTCAGAGGGTGTAACTTTCGATGGCAGTACAAAGCCTCATCTCTCTCCCACTGAGCAGCTGGTGGCTTCAAACTTCTGAACTTGTGGTTAGCAGCCCAATTTGCAACCCCCAATGCCAGCAGACTCCTTTGCCATTCTAGCGTGTATGGGGCAAAGTGGTATTTAAGTGTGATTAATTTATTTTCATAGTGGTTTGTGATGTTGACCATCTTTTAATTTACTTATTCCTATGATGAAATATTTATTCAAATCTTTGCCCACTTTTAAGTTGGTTTATTTGTATTTACATTGAGTAGTAACAATTCTTTATAAATGCTTGATACTAGACTCATTACATATGTGATTTGGAAATATTTTACCTAATTTTGTGGCTTGTCTTCTCACTATCATATTAGTGTACAGGCATTTTTAATTCTGATAGATAACCCAATCTATATTTAGGTGTATGTGTACCATCGGATTTGTATGTGCAAAAGTATAATCTAACCCTATATCATGAATATTTATAGCCATATAATATAAACTTTTCTTGTTTCTGAATAAAATATAGATATAAATAATTTAAGCCTTTGACTTTTTTGGCAAATGTTTTTTTATTTACTTTATTTCTTTAAATAGTTTCATTGGCATCTACTTCACATATAATATAATTTAATCATTCAATTATATAAAACATTGAAAATATTTTAAAAATTTAAAAATTATCTCCACAATCAATTTGAGAATATTTTAGTCACTCCTTGTTGTTAGTTCTCCATTTTCCTCATTATCTACTGCCATGCATCTAGGCAATTATCAATCCAGTTACTATCTCTATAGCAATGCCTAGT